AATATAAAGTTCATGGTTCTCCTGCCAATTCTCCTACAATTGTACATGACATTTCACCTCCCTCATTCTGGTTGGTTTCTCAATACTGTTGTTACCTGCCTGATGTCTCTCCATCAGCACTATCTTGCTACTTCCCCAAAAAACTGGTAGAAAAATCAATGCAGACCTGTCACCTCCTCCTTCGTAACTTCTGCTGCTCAGTGTGCTTTTTTGAACATGCTTGCTAAATACTTAATCAATGCCCTGACACAGATTTTACATCCCCAACGAAACTTATCTCCTAGTTCACTCTGACACAACAGAATGAGAGTGCTGACTCAAAAATCATAGAATCATAGAATCACAGAATCTTAGGGGCTGGAAGGGACCTCAAAAGATCACCCAGTCCAACCCCCCTGCCAGGCAGGGTCACCCAGAGCACATCACACAGGAACGTGTCCAGGCAGGTTTGAATGTCTCCAGTGAAGGAGACTCCACAGCCTCTCTGGGCAGCCTGTTCCAGTGCTCTGTCACTCTCACAGTAAATAAGTTCTTCCTGATATTCACATGGAACCTCCTGTGCTCCAGTTTGCATCCATTACCCCTTGTCCTATCACTGGTCATCACTGAGAAAAGCCTAACTCCATCTCCCTGACACTCACCCTTTACATACTTGTAAACATTGATGAGGTCACCAAGAACAACGCCGAAGTGTATCTGGGTATTAAAAATACCCTCGTAGACAATGACAGACTCAAACCAGCACTGCAGGGCACGATCCGTGACATTTGCCGGTTTCTGCTGTTTCATCCATGACACTTTAACCAGGCCCCGTTTCTTCGCACAGACAGAAGTGCCAAAACAGCATCACACTCCGGGCAGCCGAAGCACCTCACGGCAGAACACGAGGAGCAAACCGCAGCGCTGTACTGCAACACACACACATTTTAGAGGCATTTTCCCCCTTACACACGGAGCTCCTCCTCTAGACCGCTACGATTACATGTTCAGCCTGATTAAAGCCGCCAAGTCCGTAGGTATTTATGGTTTGCAGACACACAAAACCCAAGAGAGACATTTACTAGAACACCGCGTTGGGGCATTCGCAAGCAAACGGTAAAAAAACCCCCATGTGTAAAACTGGTGTGAATGACAAGCGAGGTGCCGCCCCCGAGCCGGGCAGCGCCGGGCAGCCCCGCTGCCCCCGGGTGGCAGCAGAGCCGCACCCGCAGCCGTCGGG